ATTAGGCCAGTACTGCTCTATGGTGGCAGCACTCGGGCATTACGGGAACAGGATAAAAATAGACTGTCGGTGTTTGAACACGTATGTCTGCGCCGCACTGTAAGATTCAGGTAGGGAAATCGAAGAAGCAATGCTGAGGTTAGACGCAGAGTTTGAGGTATTTGCATTCGTTCAGTGCAACGAGTGGTCGACCTCCTTATACTACACTGGTCGGGACATGTATTGCGCACGCCATCAATTATCATACGCGCGATGTTTGCCGAGGCGGGTAGTGTGTGGAAAACGGTCAAGGACGATCAAACCAAAACCTGCCATGAGGGTATGAATACACTAACCAGGAGACTGGGTCACATAGGTCTCTTAAGGCTCCTGGGTGGCTACTCCGAGATCATGGAAACCGGTAGTTAGAGACACTGACTGATATGGCTGAGTGTCAAAAGCAGTGTCGCTCGTGGATCTACTCATTATTCGTGCAACCACAGTCTATATGAATTCTCTATCTCCTCTTTGACTCAGCTCTCAACATTCCAATCTTCCTTCTGCTCCTTTATCCAACTGGGCAGCCAAAAAACAGAAACCAAAACCGGCACACGAAAAAACATGGTTAATGGTTGTAAAAGCGGAAACTGTGGATAGCAGCGATCCGAGCAAATCATGAGCCGCACAAAATCCTACTTCGGTAGATGATTATCGTCTGATAACGATTATATAACTTATGTGACAGCAATACCGTTACTTGGTAAATACACCACGGTTGTCATCAGAAAGTTCGAAGAATGAAAGAATGAGTGACAGCAGTGGACGCGCTGGAGTTACAATGCTTTAGCTAGCTCAATGTGATAGTCTTAAATGGATTCACATAAGAAGACCCAAAGACTTCGATGTAGTAACTTTTTTTATTGTTTGGGAACAATTAGCAAATATGAAGTTCAACGTGGTGGATGGTTGGGGGGGGGACAAATGAGTTCAATGGTAGTTAATACCAGGGGAATTGAAATTCTCCAACATGAAGGGAATGGCACGTTCCGCCCTCTTTCCTTGGAACAATATAGCAAGCATGAGGTGAAAATGATATGACTGAGAATGCTAAGGTATATGTGGAAATAAACAGTGTGTATGGGAAGGGACAGAAAGTGGTATCCTTTAAGTCGTCAAAAAACGCCCAAATAACGGCAAAGGGAGATCGATACAACAGGGTGGTACGAGGAGAAATATGACAATATAACGTAGACGTGTGCGGAAAAAGAATGTCTGCTAAATCCATAGCAGAAAAAACGAACGTCTGATGGCACGCAGCAGGGGAAGGTCATGTGAGAGTCGGAAACTAACGCAGGCTCACGTTGAAGTCCACTGGTCTACGAGGTCCGGATTCGGTAGTCACATTAAACAACGCCTTGCGAATCACACTGATATCCACCTCGGCCGTGATGTTGCCACCACTGTTGTTTGTGCCTCGAGCTCCAGCACTGTTTTAGTGAAGGGAAATAAGATAGCACACACAAGAGAATGAAAGTGGAAGAATAGAATAAGCAACTCTGGATATCGCAGACATGCCTTTTTGTACACTCCTATTCCCGCTGACGATGCAACTTTCCTTGAAACCAGAATGTTAAACAAAATTAGAATTAAAAATAAAGTAGAAATGCTAACTGCACTTCACAATATCAGATCCAAATTTGGAACGGATGTTATTGAAGTAATCGTGCGTCATGCTCATAGTATTAGATCCGTGAAGGAACACGTTTGGATTAGCCATGACGATGAAAAACCAAAAAATAAACTTGTTTTTTGGTTTTTCATCGTCATGGCTATTCCAAACGTTTTCCTTCACGGAGCTAACTGCACTTATTTACTGATAAACAAGCATATAACACAAAAACGATATAATCCTAAGTACTTGATATGCAATCCTTGCATTTCATAAACAAAGAACTCGAAAGTGCTTTAATTCAAACAATCATCTACCTGCTCCCAGAGGGGAACTAATGTCCAGGAATGGTAAGCGGTAAGCAGTTCGGGGTGTGTGCTCCACTTTACTGGGCTATTGAAGTATCTGTTAGTCAAGTTTGATCTCAGGCCCTTGACTTCTCGTGGTGAGGGTAGTTGCACTCAACTGAGGAAGAGCCAATAACCAGATCTTTAGTCCCATTAACAAGCAAAGAAGTGGGGGGGAAACCTCGACTGTAAACCGTACCCACTGATTCCAGGATGACTCAAAAGTTAAAACTACCAGTGCTCTTCTGTGATAGAATACTGAATAAGGTGAGTGTGTGAAATTTGCGCCCACAGACTGACCGATGAGATGCCGAGTTGCGCGACTTATATAGACTATCTCATAGAGCTACATTCTAAGCTCTAAATGATCTGAGACTCCGGGTGGCAATTTGTGACAAAATCGCCTTAATATTGCATGGTATTTTGTGATGATCAATAAGAGGGGTAAACCATATGGTTATGAGGATCCACTGTTCACTTATGGGAGCCGGTAACCTAGTATAATGCTTACAACCAAATCGTGAAGTTCGTATTTCACACGACTGCTTCATCGGAAGGTGGAACACTTTCCTTTACAGTTCCGCAGACCTGGCCCCCAGATCATTTTCTGAACTCCACGTGGCCTGATTCAACAGCGGCAACTGATAACGGGGCGTGATGCAGTTGTCGACTGCTACACAGTGGAAACATGTTGAAACGAGCGAAGTATACTGATTGAAACTCATTATTTTGAGTTTTCAATCAAGTTATTCAATGAACTATCTTCATATACTGACTGTTCTCGTAGACCACTAGAGCCTTTGGTATGCATGTAATCATCTCCTTTACTATGTTGCAGTCATTTGTTACACGACTGCATAGATAAATGCAATAGACACAGTCAAAGATGAACTATCAAGTTCCAGCTTTCAAAACCATTAACCTTAAGACGGCCCGAAAGGGTTATGTTTGTTGTCTGTAGGATAGCCTTGCAATCGACTAATGGAGGAGACACTAGAAGACTCACAAGCTACGATTCCTATTGAAATGAACGTACATAATGCAAGTGACTCCGAAAGCCTCAGTATGGTCGGGGGTGGATGTCTAAGGTTGGGGATGATCACTCTTCCATTGCACCTCTAGAAATGCGCCTATACGACCAAGCGTCTCAAATAGCCTCTACTGAGGAAGCCCCACTCGCGGCGGTGTTTAACCACCGAAGTGAGAGGACGAAAAGCCAACATCCGAGGCTATAACCGGATTGGTGAACCGCTAGCTATTACGTTGGGAAGCTAATCTTCGCTATTCAATTCTACGGGAATCGCCTCCAGTAGCTTACTCCGATGCAAACTGGAGATCCAAGTTATCCTCACTTGTTTTCATCTGACTGTCGAACTGTTCCCCCGGGGTGTACAGGCAGTTTTAGTTGCCAGTTAACAAGCGAGAGCTATGTGAAATGAGATCAGAATACAGCATGTTTAAAGAAGATTTGTTTGTCAATGTTTTGCTTCTTCCTATCATTTTATGCATCCGTAGCAGAACACAATATACCGGCCAAGTGGCCTCACTCAGATTGGTAGTGTTGTGCGATCAACCTTTTTCCCATAACCAGATCATAGACTAAAAAAGACCATGGTCAGTAGAGACATATGCTACCGGGGACGCTTTCTGGTGGCAGTCATGAAGGTCAGTTATTTGGTTAACCGTAAATAGGTAGGTATAGCTTCACTGAATAAGCGATCGCCGACGAACAGCCATGTACGCAGACCTGGCGACCAATCTGGGACAAAAAGTCACCGATGTTCATAGAACCCTCTGTGACATGCATGAGTTTGGCTCTCCACTGAATGAGGTGATTACCGTTTCCTTGGTCCCTTGGCTGTATTTGTGCCGAACAGCAGAAGAAGTAACCCCAGAGAGTTAAAGGACGTATTGTTACTCATGGGAACTGGTAACCTGAGGCCTCGGAATTGAAGTGGCGAACCACACATGGTCCCACTAGCATCGGAGTGGTATCAAACCAGGCAACAACAAAGCTGCCTATCACAAAAGTCGGACTGCGGTGGTGGGGTTCGAACCCCCAACAGCTATGAAAAATAAAGGACATAGAGCTTCAACAGTCTTGTGAAGTGGGTGATGCATCAGACTGGCATTAAACGGCTGGCACATTCGAATAACTGGTTTAAGAATAGCTAGTACGTTTTAATTCTTTTCGAGAAAGTCGGAAGGAGTACGAAGAAACAGTGCGACCAGTAATGAAGAATGTACCGTTAAATATATATATCATAATATCACATATCACATGAGTGATTAGAAAAAACTATATATATATATATCATAACAGTACAAAAAAGTACAACTTACCGGGAATGGGATAACGGTCCATCGGACTGATACGAGCTAGTGCCCACAGATGGCCCAAGACGTGAAGCAAAGCGGATCGAATTGGTCGCTTGCGGCCCCACGCTATCCGGTACGGGAGTTAATAACTGTACATGCATCGGCTTGTGATCCAGTTCACGACCATGATAACGTCGTACCGCCTCTCTAGCATCTGCGGCCTCGTTGTAGACGACCTCGGCTTGACCAGGACGGATCAGATTACACAGACGCATGCTACCCACGCTGCTGAACAATTCCTGCGGCAAGCAAAGAGCGTGTAAAGAGTAAAGACAACTGTAGTCAGTTTTATATTACAATCAGCCCTGCGATCATTATGAACACCGTATGCATATATAGTAAGGTGAATTTCCAGTATTCCTTTATGTTTGACGTGTCAGTTTGGTTGAAACTAAAATTCGATTCAATGGACACGGCCGGTGCAAAATCAGCGCAATGTACTCCAGACCAAGAGGTGAGTGTTTCGACCGTTCCCCTTATTAGAATGAAACGGAATACTAGTTCTTTGGAATCTTATCCACCAAAGCACATGCTTGATTTTTCACCGTTTGAATCCGTTGAACTTACAATCCTATTTCATACAGAGGTGCGCAAGAACTGTTACCACGAACATAAATCTACCACTGTGGCGAAAAACCAGTATACATGTCCATTCGGTCAGAAATGACAACCTGACGAGGAGGACAAACAGGAGTTTGAACAGTGAAGTCGGTAGCATGTGTTGTGCCGCTGCTTTGAACCTTATCTCTTGTTCTAAATCAGTACCCTCATTATAGATTGAAGACAGAGAATACCAGCGGATAGGACGTCATCGATTCTTCCGTTGCTGTGGTGTTAGTTACATGGGTCAAACCACTGAAGTCTGTCTGGGTCGATAGGATTCCAGTGTACTAACCCTAATTTCAAATGGCACGGAAACGGAATGGATAACATGCCATTGAAGCGACAGAAACCAATTACTCGGTTGACCCAATTGAGTCATTTCAATTCATCCGCATACACTATCTAAGTAAGGGGTTACCATCAAATGAGGTCACAGACCATCTCGTTTCTGTTACGGAGGCAATCACGATACCACCGAACCGCTCTTCGTGCACCCACAAAAACTCAGGCTTCTATAGATATCTCTCAATAAATTCATTTTGACAATAGATCATCAACAATCACTGACAAACACTGCATTATTGACTAAGTGACTGTGAATGGTAGAGAGGTGTAAATCCATCCCACACCACCATACACCCACATACAATGTTCGCCATTTCACTTTAACCAGTACAACTATGCCATCAAACGGGAAGAAAATTGTCAATACAGATTCAGTAGTCATGAGCATTGGCATGATTCCATGGATACACATTTCTAGAAGAAAAGAAGAATATTAATAACATTCTGATCGGATAAGAATCCCATATCGAGATCAAAAGATAAACACGACTGATTCTGCAAGTTTGAAACTATCTGAATGACCCGAGAACAGTGGTGCGAAACATAGAAACGGGTGTTTAAGGGAGTGAATAAAAGCAAACCAACGGAGTTATTTCAGCTGGTAATAAAACGTTCGTAAACGGGTTGCGCAACTCGGTAAACAACCTAAAGAGTTTACCGTTTCGCATAATCCGACACGCTGACTCTATGAGCTTTATTCGTGTTGCGCCTCAGAGGATACAAGAATGCACAAATAAGTTGTCAAAGTTATTCTTTATGTGTAATCGGTTGTTGAACGTCATTGCATGCTGCTAACATTTAATTCGTTTATCCTATTCCCGTGGTTTAAACACGTGGTCATAAAACGAATTAACAAGCCCGAAGAACAGTTCGACAGCAGTAGCGTAATTATTAGCTACTGGTTTGCACTGAAGATCATACAGACATTATCTTCACACCAACTGTCAGCAGACAAAGCACCAGAACATAAAAGTACTTACATAGACATCATCCAGCGTTACCGATGGCTGCAAGTTGCTCACTTTCACCCGGAAACCTTGGATCGGGCTGAGTTTTGTGCCGCCTGCGGCAGCACTTAGCGCAAGTAAAGCTTCAGAGGGAGTGGCCAAATCGGCGAACAAGCCACCTGCACCGGTGGTGCGCCGTATCAGGCCGGTGGATGTGGGCACCACAGTGGGTAGACTGAGTAAATCCGGGATCAGAGTGGGCGGATAGCGCCGCAGCGGCGGTCGAGTACGCTAAGTGGGCGTATGTGCGTGTGTACGACAAGTGTGTGCGCGCATGGGCATGCGTGTGCACGTGTGGGATGCATGCGCGCATACCATGGTACACGCAGCCCGATGGGGGGAGGTGAACAGAACAAATGAGAGGTATGGGAGAGGGAGTGAACAGGCAGGCATTTGAGAGGCAGACAGAAAGAGAAAGAGACAGAGAGCGCGCACGATAACCGCTTCACAGATGGATCAGTGTATCTCGACTCCGGCCAACTACAGAAGCCAGGACATAACCTGCGAAACGGAACAGATTGGAAAACAGGACTCGTATGGATTGCCAGTGAGATCGGGTAGAAACACATGCGTAACGAGATTCACCGATGTATGGTTCAAGTGAGATCCCTCGGTTTTGCCGAAGTGTGCTCACAGTTCCGTTTGGAAGGCCCCATGTAACTTGTTAAAGCCAAACACGAGCACGCCCTGACGCTTCCGACAGTCGTGACACCTACGATTTCCAAAAGCTGCGAGCATGAAAAATGATCTTGTTCCCTGAAATATTTGCCGAGGTTAAATAATCTTGCTTAAGGTGTACGGACATTAAATAGGATAATATCAACAAGTTACGATGGAAATAAGTTAGGAAAAAGACGTATCGAAATATGCTCGTTTTGTGATCGGTACTATTCCTTACGTTGTTACCCAGGAGATAAAATATAACACGATCGATACAAATAAATCAACAGCAAGCGACCTGCAAATATAAACTGACTGATTCTGGCTTCAGTAAAAGATAAGCAGAATATGGTGTTCTTGTAAACAATGCTCGTATCAATAAGCAGCTCCAAATCTGAAAGCAAATGGTCGACTTTCGGAAATTCGTCGTCGTAACAGACGAGAGGGCAAAAACGAGCTTGGTATTAATCAGTACATTCCAAATCCCAGAGAAAACTAAGGCTGAGAAAGTGACCACGAAACTCTAGGATTCTATCTTGTAGTGATATTTAAACCTTAATTTACCAGATTAAAAATTGACCTGTATTTTATTAATTGGAACATCACATTATGCACGCCATTGAAGTAAGCTTGTTTCGAACCACCTTTCGGATTGTCCACGATACTTGCTTTGCTGGATAGATGCACTCAAACCACAGCCCTGAAAAGAAATAGAATCCAGCATTCGAGAAAGAAAAATGAGCGTGCATATTTAATCCAACAACAGTGTGCTTTTGATTAACCCAAAGGTTTTTGAATAAATTACTGCATGAATCAGACTTACTCCAACTGGACGGCCTCGATTTGCGACGTTCCCTACGAAAAGGTCATTGTTAACCTAAATGGAAAAAAATAGAAAACGCACTAGTTTATCAAGCAATTAATCGATCTGAATGATAAGCGATGATCGGAGAAAAGTCCTAGTTCTAGGAATCTTAAAAACCAGCTGACGCTGGAGTTACTATAGGGTATCAGACGAACAGCATCGAGCATGTCGCCCGTGTCCAAAACAGAGAAAGGCGAACCGTGATAGGAGTGGCCATGGATCAGGAGACAGCAAATGTCATCTGAACGAAACGTATCGAAACATACGATCCATATTAGAGAAGGAATCCACTAACCAGCTACTGTCTCTGGAGGTATTTATTAATTGAATATCGAATGATTCGATTTCCGGATTAACGTAAAAGAAAACAACACGGAGTGGACAATGGCTCCAGCGTAGTAACGACCCAATCCAGAACCACTGTGGGGTCATTTGAACACCCGTGAACGGAGCTGGGTGAACATGTAAATACGAGAACATTTATTTGATGATAAAAATATCGAAGATGAACTGAAAATCAACAGTTGTCCTTTAGGGCTTATTCGAAGGCACCAGGCACGTGTATAAACAAGGACCCCAACCGCTAGGAGAAAAGTTCATGTTCAAACTTGAACTAAAATACAAGGGTAATGACAGTTCAACGTTACGTGACCAATTGAATTCTGCTTCTTCTCGCACACTGTTGTCTCGGAAAACAATACGAAACCCCGGATTTTAATGTCACCGATCACCTAACCAAACGTTATCTGCAAATTCCCATGTGGATGCGGAGTCAGTGGCGTGGGCGAGCAGTTGAGCGCATTTCGCATCGAGTTTCGTGTGAAGTCAGGATGAATAGTACGCAACAATAAACTTTAGCGTCATCAGTTAAGAGGTGGTAGGCGGCTCTACCGTTGCCCTGCTCACTACCACGCCTGATCTATTGAAGCCATATGTGGTCCGCCACTCCAAGTTTCAGGATCATGGTTGCCGGTTCCCTTACAACATGAATATACAAAATCACGAACGCTCACGTACTCTCACTCGCTCTACGTACTCATCATCCACACTAACATTCGCGGACTGAACCGCAAAATTGATTCTGTAGACCATTTTCTCCATTCTTCTTCTCCGCTAGCCCTTTTTTGACCGAAACACAAACCTCCCCCTCGTCAGATACCACCCACCTTCAATTACCCCTTCTATTCTCCATTCCTCCTTTTTACCCAAATCTGGTATCTGCTCCTTTATTCACAAATCAGTCGCTACCTCAAGGATCCCAAATCTTGACTTTTCCAATCGTGAATTTCAGCTGATGTGACTAGAACTCCGCCTTCCTTCCTTTAACCATTACCTTTGTGTTCTTTATCGTTCCCCCAATAGCGGCGACTCTTCCATCGAACATTGAACATGTTTGCAATCGACCCCAACTGCCAAGTTACTATCTTGGGAGATTTTAAAGTTCACAATCAGGACATTCATCTGCTACTTCTCCTTTGGGGGGCGAAGCAGAACACTTCGCTTTGGTCAATAACCTGAGCCAAGTAGTTGACCTCCCCACAAGTGTCCTTGATTGAGCAGGCGATCGTGCCCACACCCTTGATCCAGTTTTCACTTCGGTCCCTTCTTCCTTCTCAGATTTTGGTACCCACCCTCCTCTTGGCTCATCAGATCATTGTATCGTTTCTTCTTCTATTAGGTTTTCAAACTCCGAGCCACCACTCACCTCGAGACACATTCTGGCGCTACAACTCAGCCAACTGAGACGGCTTCCGTGATTTCCTAACTGCTTATATCTGGAACGATTGCTGTTTCTCTTCGGATGTTTCCAAATCCGTTACCAACTTCACCCACCTTGTTCTTCAAGGTATGCATCTTTTTATTCTGCACTTTTCCAAACCCGGTAAGCCCGAATCCCCTGAGTGGTTTAACGATGTATGTGACCGTGCTGTACGCCTGAAACGTTCAACCTTCCGCTGCTCGCCCACCCACCCA